GGCATATGCTGATTACTCCCTGCCATTCCTCGTTTACACAGATGCCAGTAATCATGGTTTGGGAGCAGTCTTGGCCCAGGTCCAACAAGGGCGAGAACGAGTGATAGCCTATGCCAGTCGCAGCCTACACCCAACAGAGCGGAATGATGCAAATTATAGCTCTTTCAAACTAGAGCTCCTGGCTCTTAAGTGGGCAGTAACCGAGAAATTTAAAGACTATCTGACTGGAGCCCGATTCACGGTGTACACTGACAATAACCCTGTGGCCCACTTACAGACAGCTCGCCTGGGTGCCGTGGAACAGCGCTGGGTCGCACAGCTCGCCTCCTTCGATTATGACATCAAGTACCGCTCAGGTAAAAGTAATGTAAATGCAGATGCCCTGTCTCGGTTCCCAATTAACCCACTGACTGCAGATGCCTCATGTGAAAACCTTGAGCTGGAAACCGTTCCAGTCACGGCAGCCATTGAACTGACCCCTGAGGGAGGTGAAGAGGAGTGGACAGGCAGAGAGTGGGAGGAGGCACAAGCTGGTGATGCGGACCTTCAAATCATTAAGAGGTATGTGGAAACCCAAATGATACCGACGAGACCAGAGCGCCTGACATTGTCCCTTAGAGCCCAGAGACTGTTGCAACAAAAGCGAAAACTTCAGGTTAAAAGCAAAATACTGTGTCGTAAAATGATTGACCCGCACACACACGAAGTGTGTTTCCAGATTGTGTGTCCAGAATCTAGGAGCCAAGAAGTTTGGAAGAGGATCCATGAAGCCGCTGCCCATGCTGGTGTGGAGAGAACCCTAAACCGGATCCGTCAGCGGTTCTATTGGCCTGATATGGAGAGGGAGGTACGTCAGTTGCAGCAGGGTTGTGTTGCCTGTAACCTGCAGCGAGACAGGGTGGAGCCTAAGGCCCCCCTAAATCCATTCACAGTATCCTACCCCTTAGAAGTGGTGGGGTTGGACTTTTTGTCCTTAGGTCGGCCCACAGACACCTACCAGAACATTCTTGTTGCTACTGATCTGTTTACCCGTTTTTCTTGGGCTATTCCCACTCGAGATCAAACAGCTCAGACTACAGTAAAGGCCCTGTGGACCCATGTGATCCAACCATTTGGTTGCCCCGCCCGTTTCCATTCTGACCAGGGACCTAATTTCGAATCTGCACTTATGAAACAATTTTGTGATACCTATGGTATAACTAAAAGCCGCACAACTCCCTACCATCCCGCAGGAAATGGCAGTGCAGAGCGTTTTAATCAGACCTTGTTAAATATGCTCCGCTCTTTAGAGACGTCTAAGCAATTTCACTGGCCCGACTATCTGCCCGAACTGACACACGCCTATAATAACACCACACACAGTGCGACTGGGTATACCCCTTCCTTCCTCATGTTTGGGCGACACCTGCGACTTCCTGTTGATGTAGGATTAGGTGTAGGTCCCCAACAGATGAGGCACGATGTAGGTGGGTGGGTACAAGACCACCAGCAGAAACTGTCCTTAGCTTATAGCCTGGCTAAACAAAGAATAGAGAGTGCAGCCACCCAGAACAAGCAGCACTATGACAAGAGGGCCAAAGCGTTACCACTTTTACCGGGGGAAAGGGTGTGGGTGCGAGATAGGAACAGACGAGGGGCAGGAAAGTTGTGTACTTGGTGGGACCCAGAGCCATGGGTGGTGTTGGAGCAGGTGGGGGATACAGGGGTTGTGTACAAGATTCAGCCAGAGAAGGGTGGCAGAATACAAAATATCCATAGGAACTCACTTAAGGTGTGTACAGTACCCCCAACCGAAGTCCCGCTACCAACCACTGAGCCGGTTGTCCAGATGCAGGGACCCATTCAGCCCATGATCTACGGGTTCCTTCCAGCACCGGTAGCCATACCGCCTGTGAATGTGGAACCTGAGGGTGCCCTACGATGCTCCACCAGGGTAAACTTTGGACAAACTCCAGTCCGTTATAGAGACTCATAACATGTTGCAGGGACTGCTAACTTTAAAGTGTGGGGAGATGTCACGGGGGGAAGTTTGATTTTATTTAAGCATGCTTTTACTTTGAATTTGCTGTGTTTTTGTCTTATTTATTATTGCATGCTTTTATTTTGAAGTGTGTTTGTGTTACGTTGGTTTTACTTCCCCACCGGAGACATACCTTAATCAAGCATAAGGACTTACACCTGGCACCCAGAGAGGGGAGTGACTGTTCTTGGATAAAAAGGACACTGGAAGATACCCGGGGGCACGAGGGGAGGACACAGAGGGCACGAGGAGGACACGGAGGTCACAACGGGCCGGACAGCAGGAAGCAGACAGAGAGACAGAGCAGATCATCGCACTGGAAGAGGTCTGAAGAGACACCGGAGCAAACACCGACCGTTAGCGGCTATAATTGGGAGAAGGTAAAACTTCTCCCTCCCGCGTAAGTCCCGTTTCAGACCGGTGTTTGTGTAGTGTGTAATATATAAAGTTGTGCCTTGTTAAAGGACATTGACTGGCCCTGAGTTTCCCTCGACAGGCTGCCGAAGAGCGGAGCCAGGTGAAGAGCAGGTGGTCGCCACCAGAGACCCGCGACTGCCGTTGTTGACCTCCCACTCCATCCGTGCCACATTATTTTAGCTGGGTTTTAGTTGTTTGTGTTCTTTGTTTAGTTTATTTGAAGGTAGAGCTTTTAGTTGTTTTTACTTATTTTAAAATAAATTGTGTTCAACTGTGTTCCACTGGCTGTACTCATTGTTTTAAAAATAACACTGTTTACTGCTCTCCCCCGACATAAAAGAACCTGTTTACCCTAACTTTAATTTGGTGATCCTAAGAGGTCCTAGGCCTCAGTTAAACCTAGGTGGCGTTGTCGGCACTTGTGTTTTAATTTATCCACCCTTAGCACGGCTCA